GCTCCTGGTGGGCCACAGGCCCCTTTATTTACCTGTGTGTCTATAAGTATGGCTTCTCACAGCTCCCATTGGCTGCGGTTCGCTGTTCCTGGCCAGTGGGAGCTGTGGGGAGTGATGTCCCCATCCACGCTGCTTCCTGCTGCTCTCCCAGGAACAGTGAACCGCAGCCAATCGGAGCTGCAAGTGGCCATATCTGTGGGTGCGCAGATAAAGTGTCCAGTGGCCTGCTTAGGGATAACCCTGGTGAACCGCATCTGGCCTATGGGCTACTTATTGCCCATCCCTGTATTAGCAGAAAAATAGAACTAGAAGAACAAAAAAAAAACTAGCTGAAAATGATAAAGAGAAGAATAACTCTTGAAGGTTTGAAAAGGAACTAACTTAAATGCCAGAGGATGTTCCAAGTTATGTGATTCTCATCCAGATCCATAGTACTCAATGAGATAGTGTTAATCATGTGCATTGTTCCACTGTGTGTCATAGGCCCAATAGTGGTAAGCATTCAAGGTGATTTGCCTACTATGGAGGCTTATCCTGGAGCAGGAGGAACAGAGTTCTGTCCCCACTGTTGCTGTGAAATTCCAAGTGGCCATGGTGGGCGGCACAGTGACAACTGTGAAATTGCTCAGTAACCACAGATTTGTTAAAGCTGTAAACATCTCCTTTGCGAGTGCAGCCTGGGAAAGAGCCGTCTTCTGCCTTGCCGTGTTGTGTCTGAGTTAGGGCAACTGCACCAGTGCAGACATACTGCACCAGTGCAACAAAGCTCCATAAATTACTAAGCTAAATCACATCTCCAGTTTTGCATGCTGTCTCTATTAGTGGTCTGCACTAGTGCAAATTGATACAAGACTTTAAGTACAAAGTCCTGTTCGCTGCCTCACTCGCACTCTGGCCAGTAAGGGATAACAGGGGAATGCTGGAAAGACAACTGTCTTGAGTTCATCTGCATCCATCCAGCAAGAGAGAACTTGCACCTGGGAGTTGTGTGTTGAGGACAGCTGGCCTAAATGTTCCTATTAGGCAGGGAGATGTGAACACAGCAAGAAGGATACTAGTGCTGCTACCGGAAATGAGCTTTCTTCATCCCTCTTTCCTCTTTGTCTTTTTCTTTCCTGGGAGTGTCTTTCAGCTCTTGCCCGTCTCTCTCTCTCTCTTTGGAAAGCGTTGGTTTCTGGGTTTACTGCAGGGACATCTCCACTTGGCATGTGTCCCTGGTTGCATGGCAGTGGTGTCAAGGACTGGTGGATAGGGTGGTGTGAAGAATCTCTTGAGCATGGTGGTTCTCCAGAAAGAGTCTTGATCATGGCTTGGCAGAGAATAGAAGGGTCTTCAAGGATAGAGGGCTTTTCAAAGACATGTGATTTGCAGTCAGTTATCGCTAGCAATTTATACACATGCTGCCGTCTTGCCCAATCCCCAATTTCCAAGATAAACTGCTGATACAACTACTCTGATCGTTGGGGCCCTGATTCTGCAGCAAGGACCCTTGGAGATTGAGTGTGTTCCATAGCTTGCAGGACAGATCTAGTGTCTGCTACAGGGTATAGGATCACTCCCTGCCCTATCACCTGGGAACAGAGGAATTACCAGCCTGGGCCACACAAGGGCTCCATCTAGTCAGGATCCTGGTTCCAACACTGGCCAGCACCAGCTGCTTTAAAGGAAGGGGCAAGAAACCCTAAAGGAAGCAGTGCTGGGGGTAATCTGTTCTCAGGAAATTTCTAACTGACTCTCGGTAGAGAGAGGTCAGCCTGTGACCTGAAGCATGAGGACTTCGATTCCTCCCAACCCCCTTTATTTATTTTTAGAATATATTGTTTTAACTTTGGGTTGCTTTGTTAGCTATCTTAGTGCCTAACGTTTAGCCTTGATTCCGAATGGATAGGCAAGTAGTCAGATTCCTGGCTCTGCCACAGATTTGCTGGCTGACCTTGGGCAAGTTACTTCCTCTCTTTGCACCTCATTATCTGTAAAACGTGGGTGGTGGTGATCACACTGACCTCCTTCATAAAGCGTTTTGAGATCTCCAGATGACACTAGCCGTTATGACTCAGCTCTCGGCCTCGATGGTATCTTCAGGCTGATTGTGCTTGTGTAAAAGATGTCTTCCCTGTTATTGGCCTGGAATGCCGGAATGTTCTGTGTTTAGCTGACCAGCCCTGTTTTGGACAACTCATCCGATTTCAAAAACATTTTGCTTATAAAACGTGCCACAAAGTGTCTCCGCCCTCACACGCTAACTGAGCTGTCCCCAAACCAATGCTATCTATTTCCTGCCAGGTTCCCTTCACTGCATCTCGCGCTCTGTCTCTCCCTCCTGGCAGACAGATACAGGACATGGCTGCAACTCTTTTGTTTCTTCGGCAAGGGTGGCAAAAACAATCACATTTGCTCTTGTGAGGGTGGCTGCTCCTAGCAGTGTGGTCTAGTGGCAAAGCATTACACTGGGATTTAAGAGATCCAGGTTTTAAGGCTTGGCAGCTCCAAGCATTCAAAAATCATGAGACTGGCTTAAAAATCTGAGTTTTCACAAAATAATGATGTGAGTTCTTTGTATTTAGCTACTAGTTTGGGAGCTTTTTGGCGGGGGGGGGGTGTTATTTCAGAGTTTTTTCTGCAACAAGGAGGTCTAGAAACTTGACCCCAAAGAAAAAAGAACTGAGATTTTCTCAACATCAACTAACTCCAGGAACTGAAGGTTAAGAAAGACACTAAATATCAAGAGACTCAGGTGAGAACTGCAGCACTGGAGTAACTCCAGTGGACTTCTAGACCTTGCTCTGTTAGAGTATGCCTACACAGCAGGGCAAAAGTCGAATTGAGCAATGCAGCTTCAGCTACGTCAATTGCGTAGCTGAAGTCGAAATAGCTTAATTCAGCTTTTGGAGCTGTCTGCCTTGCAGGAAGTCAAAGGAAGAACATTCCTCCTCCAACTTCCCTTACTCCTTGTGAAATGAGGGTTGCAAAAGTCGGAGTAAGAGGTCTTCCAGCTCACCATTATTTCAAAATAACAGCTTTCTGTGTAGATGTGCTCTTTGTTATTTTGAAATTGCATCAGTTATTCCGGAATAAGGCTGCTGTGTAGACGTAACCTTACTGATCTGCTGGGCCACCCTGGGGAGTGTCTTGCTCTCATATGGCTCCTTTTGCCCCTCCCACTTTTTGTCAATGCACCTTTTAGACCACTGCAACAGTTAAGATCAAGAGACCTCTACAGGATTGGCTGTGTCTAGACTGGCAAGTTTTTCCGCAAAATCATCTGCTATTGCGGAAAACCTTGACAGCTGTCTACACTGGCCGCTTGAATTTCCGCAAGAACACTGACGATCTTACATGAGATCGTCAGTGTTCTTGCGGAAATTCAAGCGGCCAGTGTAGACAGCTGTCAAGGTTTTCCGCAATAGCAGATGATTTTGCGGAAAAACTTGCCAGTCTAGACACAGCCAATCCTGTAGAGGTCTCTTGATCTTAACTGTTGCAGTGGTCTAAAAGGTGCATTGACAAAAAGTGGGAGGGGCAAAAGGAGCCATATGAGAGCAAGACACTCCCCAGGGTGGCCCAGCAGATCAGTAAGGTTACGTCTACACAGCAGCCTTATTCCGGAATAACTGATGCAATTTCAAAATAACAAAGAGCACATCTACACAGAAAGCTGTTATTTTGAAATAATGGTGAGCTGGAAGGGGAGCCAGCTGGCTGTTAGCTCAGAGGGTAGAGGCACCTATAATCAGCTCCCTAGGTTCAAATCCACCTTGGTGGTGGTTACATGTGGGTATGTTTATACTTTGGGGTAGGGACCTGCTGTGAGTGTGCAGCGCCCAAGTCACTCATGGAGTCTGTATGGCGTGTATAGACATGTCTGTCATGCAAATAACAGGGAAGGATGGGTGGCAGTGGGAATGCTTGTGAGGAGTTGTTTGTAGGGATAAAGCTCTCTCCACTGACTGTTGCTGAGAATACCTTGTATCTGGGGCAGAGTGTTGCGGCTCAGAGTTTCTATAACACCTTTCCCCTGGGGATCTCAAAGCACTTTACAAGCATGAGCTAATTGTCATCACCTGACCCCTTCCTTCCCCTCCTCTTTAATGAAGTAGTTGCCATTGATGGAGAAACTGGTTGAGAGCTGGTTTGCCTTTATTCATGCAGTGGAGTCTGTGCCTGTCCAGGACCCTAGAGTCCCACTTTGCTGCTCTTAGCACTAGGTAACACTGCCTCCCAAAACCTGGAAACAGAACCCAAGGCTTTTTGTTAACCATGCTTTCCTGGTGATGGGACTAGTCCTAGCTCCCACTCCCCTGTGCTAACCGCTAGCCCAGACTTCTGCCCAGAAAACAGGCTCTTTGGAAGAATTTTGAATGATTCAGAGAGAAAGAAACTTTGGGGCTGAGATGGTTCAAGCCCTTCCCAGTGAAGGGGACAAAACTCATTAGGGTAAGGCAAAGCCTCTCCCCCCCCCCCCCCCCCCCCTCTAGCACATTTGCAAACAGATTTTTTTTTTTTTTGCTATTACCAAGTCTTCCTCTCCCTGCCTGCCCCTCCCCTCTAGCCACACAGCAAAAAGAAGAGTGTATTTATCTTTGATCTGGAGTTTCCATTGATCCATTAACATGCTGTCTTGCCTTGAGACCAGGCACCAAGAGGAGTGCTGCAGATCATGGCATCTATAAATTGGTTTCTTTAATTCCCTTTTCTGAACACGCTCTATCCCCCCCACAGCCCTCCCCAGCCCCCTTATTCTTCCTGAACATGGCAAAAAGAGGGGGGGGGGGATTGCATAGTGCTTGTTGGGTCTGGAGGTTTGCATGGGAGTCTTGCATTGATCCATTGATTGCACATGGTCTCTTGCCTGACCTCCTTGCTCCCAGGGAAGCTGTCTCCATGGCTACTGGCCCTGCTCCCCCAGTGGTAGACTGTAAATTCCTGCAGGCAGAGCCGAGCCTGGGGATTGGGGGGGCGGAATCAAAGAAGGAGTAGCCAAAGCCAAATAGAAAGAAAGGAAGAAAGGGCGTTGCTTGGATGGATCTCTCCTTTCCACTCCCCTTTCTCAGGTCCTGAGCTCTAGACCAAGGCTCCTTGTTTCCCCCCCTTCATTGCTGCTGCTGCTCTCTTGCAAAACTGGAATTGGCTGGGATTATTAAAAAAAAAAAAAAAAAAAAAAAATCAGAGGCAGCAGCCGGGAGAGCGATCAAGTCCACTTTCTTCCACTGCCCTGGGTCTCCTGCTCTCACTCTGTGCTCGTTACAATCAAGAGCCTCAAGCTGAACCCAGAGCAGTTTTTTCCATCATTTCAGTCTCCTTCCCTCCCCCAGCCTCTCTCACAGCCAGAGGAGCGAACTCCTACTCCCCCCTCCCCTCTTTTTTTTTTTTCTTTCTTGCATGTTTAGGCTGTTGTTGAAAAGCATCCGAAAATCCCCCTCCCCAACCATCCCCTACTCTTCTCTCCTCTCCCCCCACACACAGAGCAATGGGGGCTTTGCAGATTGCTGGATTTTGCAGCCTCTTCTTTCTCCTCCACTCTGGAAACACGCTGGCAAATAAAGCCAGTCAAGGTAAGAAGGATCTTCCCTACTCTAAGGTTTACTCGTCGGTCTGCATACAGGCAGCTGGACCTTTTCTTGGGGCTTTTAATTCCGTCTGCAGGCTGAGTACTGAGCAGCATTAACAATAAATGTGTGGAGTTGTTTGCAAGGTTGATCACAAAATTCACCCTCGCTCTCCCTTTTTATTTTTGTATCCCTTTAGTGAATGCTGTGTTCTTAGGGATGGGCTTCGACTCTCTTTGAGAGGAGAGGGTAAAAACATGGGATGGGAAAAGTTTTTGTTGTTGTTTCCTGGCTTGGTTTTGGTTTTAGCCTCAGGATCAGAAAGAGGCAAAAGGTAGCTGTGTTCTTCAGTATCTCCATCTGTAAAATGGGGAGAATCGTGTGGATTGGGGGGGAGAATCGTGTGGATTGGGGGGAGAACTAATTAGCTAATGGCTTTAGCGTTAGCAAGGGACAGAGCTGATGCTGAAAGAGACAAAAAAGAGTTGATGTTGTTAATGATGGAAGGTGTAAAGTGCACATTAGAATTTATTTTTGTGTATATTCATGTTTATTTAACCTTGTAAACATTTAACTATGCCTGTGGTGATGGATGCTAGTGACAAATTTAAGATAGACGATGTATAGTGTTTTGGCTATATATGTATATACTCACACACCCTGTCTTTATCTGCTTCAGGTTTTCTATATCACCGCTTCTATATTTACCCTGAGTTTTTCCATATACACACATTTAGCTTTATGCGTGGTCTATCTGTATTTTTGGGTTTTTATAGCACCTCTATATTTAGATTTTTTTACATACATGCACGCATGGTATGGCTAGCTATATCTTTATTTTTTCTGTAGCACCGTTCTTAGTATGAAACTGGTTTTTCTATACTCTCTTTCTCTCTCTCTCTCCCTCTCTCCATGATTTATTAATGTCAGAGCTTTTTCTATACCAGTATCTAAGCACCTATGCACATCCTGAGATTAAATAGTGTGTAGGAGAAATAGAGGGGTCAGTAGGGGACATTTCTAAAGAGCCCGTCTACGCATTAGTGATTATCATATTTCAGCCATGGGTATTGTCCCCTTCATCCCCATCTTCTGCAAAGTTGGAAAGAATTTCAAGGCTATTGTCTTATCTCTTTTAAAGTGTTTTTAAAACAATACAAGATTTGATGGGAGGACTGTCTGGACAAAAGCAAGCGGATATTTTCCAGAACGAAGGGTTAGAAAGAGAACATCCAGCTTAATGTAACGCTTTATGATTTAGGCTCAGAAAGGAATGTTTAGGTTTTTATCCCTGCCTCAAATTATCTTTGGTGTATACATTGCTTTCATTTCTTATCATAATATTTATTTATTAAGGCCTTTTGGTTTCCAGTTCCATTTAAGTCTGGCCCAGAATTGCATTAAAATAGCAAAGTAAAATTCCATCCTGCAGAGACTTGACAGATCCCTTCAGGGGAAGAAAGAGGAGGGGACAAAACCTTGGGCTAGATTCTCAGCTGGTGAAAATCCAGAGATTTACTCCAGTTGATGATCTTTTAATTATAAAAACCTTTCTGATCCAATGAGCTGATAAATGTAATTATTCATGCAACTGTAGATTAGCAGGCAACTCTTATAATTAATTAATTCTGTAGCATACAATAGTAGCTGTTCTCAATGCGGATGTTTCCAGTGAAGGAAGATAGCTGTGAAAAAGTTTGAACTTGAGGGTTAGATCCCTCTATATTGTTGGAAAGATCCTGAACAAATTATATGGAGCAAGGGAGAGACTGACACAGACAGGAAAAAAGTTGAACTTGGAAGGGATGGAGTATAAATTGTATATCACAGAGGAAAATGCATCTTCATTGGGAATCCAGGATCCACTGGTTTTCAGAATGAACAAGTCCCTGTAGGTCTCTGGGAAACCGACATGTAAAAATTAATGTGGTTGAGGTACATTTTATTGGGAGATTTTAAAAAATGATGGGCCAGATTCATGGCTTGTGTAAGTCTATGAAGCTACACTGATTTATGCCAGATCAGAATATGGTCCCATATAAAATACTTCCCCCTTTTTATAGGGCTCTTTAAAAATCTACTAACTGAAGTTTTTATCCTTCTAAATCTATACCCAGGAAGTACTGTCTTGAAAACTGGAGGCAGTTCATCTCCATATTATGAGTTTGCCTGTATTTTAATAAACAATATTAAAATATCTCAGTATTCACATGGCTTGCTGACTTATTCTTAACTTTGAATTATTCCTGGGAAGTTTAGTCTGAAAGAAAGGAACAGATTTAAAACAATCAACCTCCAGGCCTCCCTTAAGTGGAACCAGTGTCTGGAGGAGCTTTGGACCTCTGGTGAACTTGTCAGGTCATTTTAGGCAGGGAATCGCTATAAAACCAAGTAATCTGGCTTTAATTAACAGATAGACATGAGAAGATGTTGGCAAGCCAAAAATTAGGTGGGCCAAATTGCTAGTAAGGTCTGCGTCCTTCCATGAATAAGTTGGTTAAAAGGTATATTTTGGGATGCTTTGGAAGCCAGAACTATTTGGCGAGTCTCCTTTTGTACTGATAAAGAGCTGATAAAGTCACCTATTCTTGTTTATTCCTTTGTCTGTCTGTTAAACCATGTTACAATCTATTTAGGTATAAGAGCATCACAGAAGCCACCTGCTATATTGCTGGGCTTTATGCTTACAAATAAGCTGTGCCTCTTAACTAGTAAGGGTGAAAGGAAATCTTTCCCTGGGAGCAGGCCATCCCATAATTGGTGTCTTGCACCTTCCTCTGAAGCCAGCTTCTCTGAGAGAGAATTCTGAGCTAGAGGCAGACCCCTTGTCTGATCCAGTCTGGCTGTTCCTATGATTCTAGCTTCCCATGCTTCTCCTTTAGATGTTCCCTTAAGTCACTTGCCCTTTGACGCGCAGAGTTCAGAAAGAAAACAAGGCGGGAGACGGGGTGAATTGAGCATCTATCAAAGGATTCTGCTACTAGTCCTTAATATCAGGGTTGCAGACGCTAGTTAGTGCAAAATCTAATACAGACCCTGTGCCAAACGCAGTAAACCAAAACTGCGGTTTAAAGTCTTGTGTGTGTCTGTGTATCCCCGCACGTGCCTGCATGCACACACATGTGTGTAAGAGACAGAATGCATAGCCTAAATAATTGTTAATCTACAAGTAGAAGCATTAATTAGCCTCCTTTCTTAAGTATCTATAAAGACATAATACTTTTCTGGCTCCAGTCGCGCTAGAATGAAAAGATCTCTCCGCCTCCCATAAAAAATCTTCCCTATCTACCCAGAGGCATCAATCTCTATTATTACAAAGATGCTGATTGCAGATGGATTTCTGGTGTAATGGGTTGGGTTCTTTTTTCTAATGGGAGTGCACCTGCAGGGCCCCCAGCATGAGGAATTTTCAAGAATATAATTTATATGATTACAGAGGAAAGCTCCCCTCCCATTTCAGTGTAACCTTTTCCCCCCACTGCCCCTCTTTCCTCCTCACCCTGCTTATGCACTGGAAAAGTCAGTGTATTAGTATTACACTCCCCCTTCCACCACCATGCCAAAATATGAAATGTAAACCTGTAAACATTTCAACATGCAGCAGTTCAAAGCAGAGCTTTGATTGAGGGCATCTAACATGCCTGTACTTAGATTTTTTTTTTTTTAAGTGGATAGGGGAAAAAAAACTTTTTTTTGTAACTGTGAACTGAATTATAAATACCCAGACACCTTGAATCTTCTCGTGCTGAGATGGGTTGCGGTCTCCAAACTGTAGCTGACTTGAATGTATTTATTTTTCAGAAGTCAGACTGTCAGATGCAGAAAGTCAGACTGGAGTAATCTGTTTAGGAAAAAGTATGCATGAATAACTTCACCCTTCACTTTTGAAGTTATAAGTCTCTAGAGGGGCGTTCGGAAAACCTTAGTGATGGTAAAGAAGGTTTGCTCTGTTTCACAATGTGAAACTAGACCCCATGCACCATCCAGGCTGGCTTTTAGTTAAGGCCCTTTCCCTTCTGGAGATCATGTGGTTGTCAGTTTCTAAACACAAAATTAGAGCCCTGCATGGATACAAAATTTGTGTTCCATCTGCATCTGCTTTGGGCTGGGGGTTGGACCTGATGATCTCCTCAGGTCTCTTCCAGCCCTATGATTCCATGATCCGTAAAAATGAGCCGCGGATGTCCACATTGACATCTGTGAATGTGGATACCCATGGATATAAAGCAGATATCTACGGATTTGCAGGGCTCTACAGAAGACATCTAGGTATATATGTCATTTTTTTTAAAGGAAAGTTTGATTAGTTTAACAAGTTATCTATGCAAATAAGGGTGGTTGGGGAGACAAAAACCAAAACAAAGAAAGAAATACATTGCTATTTTCTTAAAGAATTAAAGGCTGTTGCACTTTAGAATAGTTGGATTTAAAATTGGTTTTTTAAACTGGTACAAAATCTTCCAGGTGTAGTCTGAATTGGAAGTACAAGTTTGTTTAGATCAGCACAGCATTTCCAGGGAAGATCAGCTTGAAATGAGTCTGATCTCCTGCCTGTGGGTGTGAAATTGGAGTGAAGGAGTGGACCCCAGTAATGAGTATTGATTCCCATCCTCCCCAGAGCAGAGCAAATTATGTGAAAAATAGCTTGGGGTTGGGGGTGTTGTAACATGTTAAAGAAGCAAACCTTAGGGGGAGAAAGAAGCATGGAAACACTAAAGACATCTACAAAAGAAATAAATGTGGGTCTGGGGTGGCATGTTGAGTCACGGAGCCACAGGCTGATTATGAAAAGCGGTGAGAGCTCGTCAGCACCGCTGTGGAAGAGTCAGCAAGGTGTCATGGTGGAAAAACCTGATGAAAGGCTCAACACTGCCTCCCTAGCTTCACCATTGATTAATGGAGCTCAGCACCTCTCAGGAGTGGCCCTCGCATGGGTATTATGGGGTACAGCTGACAGCCCACTTGAAAATAAACTGTAAAATCATTGCCTTGTGGAAAATTCATCT